GGTTATAATAACTAACTGCAAATAAAACAAAGCTAACATAACCTAACCGGATGGTAGCTAATTTTTGTTTTAGTATGTAATTTAGGCTCCAAATTAAGCTAACCCGAATGGAATCATATACCAAACATAAACTAAATAAATAAAATTAAAGCAATTCACACCAAAATATTTCATATTTCAGGAATTCGGGATTCTCCATCAAATCCTAACGAAAATTGTGCCCGAGCCCAATCAAAATATCATATTTAAGTTCCTTTATCATGTTCTATGCGTCTCTCTTCTAGCTTTGGAACGCTCTCTGCTATTTGTTTCCTTTTGTTCTCTTCCTCTTCCTATATTATCTTGTGCCTCTCATTAGTAGCCTCTTTTGATATAACATGAACATGGGAACTTCAGCCAGACAGGGCAACAGATGACAAGAAAACCAACAATTAACATTTGTTTTGAATCTGTTTCTCAAAAAAAAAAACATTTGTTTTTAATATGACTAATGAAAACTTTTCTTACTTAACTATAATTTTTAATCTATGATATATACTAGTGTATGTACCTCCTTTACTTAGGTTTTTTTTTTTGAACTATAAAACTTTTCGTAATTTAGAAATATAATACAATGTTATAAAGCTACACTCATAATTAATACTTGTTAACAAAAATACATTAAAATTAAATATATATGAATATAGTTGTATACGATAATGTTGTTGCAATTTTATCTAAATAATTTTCTCTACATAAAAAACCAATAATTTGAGGATTCCAACAATTTCTACACCCTTAACAAGTTCAACGTAGTAATGAACAACAAAATCAAAGACGCCATTTTTAGACAACTAAGAGAGAGAGAAAAGAGAAATGGTTGAAACAAAATGCATTATTTCTCCGAGAAGTCTTTTCACCTAGGTTTTGCTTCTTTTTTCTTTTTCTTCTATTATCATCAACGGTATGCATCTTGTCAAGTGCAAAAGATGGTCATTTCATTGTTTAGATAGTTCACTACTACTCTCCCTTTTTACCTTCTTTCATTTTTTATATGATTTTGCAAACATTTTAATGGCTTTTGTGATTGTATACAAATGTAGGTTTACTGTATATTTAAAAATCATATATATTGAGATATTTCTCACTTTATTTTAGAATTTATTTTGGAACATTGTGTCTTATTTTTATAACTTATTGGTATCTTTTCATTTATAACCAATTTTAATCCTCTGAAAATGCTTTATTAAATAGTGTTTTTTTTCTCACTTTTAACCATAACAATTATACAGATGTGTTGGATGTTCACTCTTTTCTTTTTTCTTTTTGGTAAAAGATGTTCACTCTCTATATTATGACTTTTCGTTTTCATACATTTTCAATTATAATCATTTTAATACATTCTCAGTTTCAATGATTTTGCGGAGGTCCGAATCCTAGTTAATAAAAAATAATATTGAAAGAACTGAAAAATATACGCGCAGAACCGGTCATGCGATATTTAAGGCTTGGATAACTGCTCGATCCACCGCCCTTGGATGAGATTTGGGCTCCTCCGTAGCCACCCTGATCCGCGATGTTTGTGGGTATCCAAGCGGACGTTGCACCAGGATGAGAGGTTCCAATGGCTGTTGTAGCAGTTGGTTTGATGGTGTACTGTTTCTACCGGTACCACCGTGGATGAGGAGGAAACGGCTGGGGAAAGAAGAAGATTGAGTTTTTAGGAAGTTAAAGTTTCTTCTTTTAGAGTCGAATAAGGTCTAGTGAAGGTCGGG